ATTAGGGCTACAGTGGGGATGACAGAGAAAAGATTGGAGTGAGAAAGAGGAAAGAGAAAGGGTTGAGGAATGAGAGAGGTGAGTAAGGGTTTGGGAGTAGGGATGACAGAGAAAAGATTGGAGTGAGAAAGAGGAAAGAGAAAGGATTGAGAGGAATGAGAGAGGTGAGTAAGGGTTTAGGGGGTTTCTTTTTTTTTTTTTAGTTTTGAGAATGAAAATTATTAAAATACCCTTAACCTTAAAACTTAGAATCCATGATATATAAGGATATTTTTGTCTACTAAACCCCGGTACACATTGCTAAAATGTACCAACTGAAAAACAGGCGTACGCGCGTTAGCAAACCCCATATATATATATATATATATATATTATGATAAGAAAAAAAATATCTTCAAGATACCAATATATTTTATGACAAGACAAATACTTAAAAGAATAAAAAAAGTTTGTATCTAAAACAAAAAGAAGAATTATAAAATAAAAATAAAAATAACGTATATAGAAATATATATAGTCATATATATTCATCTTATTCTTAAATTCAATTAAAAAAATCAAACAATATTCATATTAATACTCGTTACTGTAAGGATTATTAAACGGAAAGAGTTTCGGACTATATCCACGTGGATAAGTTAAGTTATTTTTAGTGATATATCTAAAGAAGATGATGAAACTAAGAAAATAAAGATAAATAAGTCCTTTCACTACTTTATGAGAGTGTAAAAAGAAATGTTTAGAGATTCGGGTCCAGTGGACTATACTCTGTCCAGTGGCCCAATTATGTCACTAATTATTTATGAGTGTTTCATCTTAGCACCTCTAAGTGTTTCATCCTCTACCTCCAAATTTTTTTAAAATTCTCACATTACCCGTAATTAAGAGGATTTAATATTTTAAAAGAAAAATTTAAAAGTGGTCAAAGATTCTGGCTCAGAGATATTATTCCCACGCTTTTTCTCTCGCATCTCATTCTCAATCTTCACATCTCATTTTCTTGAGGTGCGTTTCCTCTTTCCAGTAGCACCCACCAGCACACTACTTTTCCTTCAAATCGGAAGCTTTCCAGTAGCACCCAGCACACAGTAGTTTCCTCTTCCATTGTCGCACACATACAGGTTGTCCATTGTCGCAGACATAGCTCGTCCATTCTCGCACAGAGGTCGTCCCGTTGGTCGTCACGCGAAGGCTAGAGAGATAGAGGAGCTCATCCAGCACCGGCCAGTGCAGAGAAATACCCACCCATGGTCCCTTTGAGCACCCAACGGAGGTTGGTTTGTGTTGTTTTTTATGCTGGTAGATATCATGTGCAGATATGGTTGAATAAGGTATGGAGAGTCAACAGGGGCTGAATCGGATCTCCATAACCAATACATCCTTCAACGGATGTCAAGATCCGATAAATGCTCAATCAGTTATGGAGATCCGCCATGTCGACTCTCCATGCCCGATTTTATGTTGATTTTTTTTTATTTTGTTTATGTTATGTTTTAATTTAATATTCAGTTTTTATTTTGTTGAGTTTGGTTGAATTATTTGAAATGTTATTATTTTAGATGTTATGTTATAATAACTATTTATTTTGTGTTTTAATTTTTTTAAATGTTATGTTATAATTATTTTAAATTTTCTGTTTTAATTTTTAAATTTATAGTTATATGAATTTTCTTTTAATTAAATTGTTATATTTGAAATAATTATTTATTGATATAAAGAAATAATTTTATTCCTTTTAATAAAATAATTTTAATTATTTAAATTTTCCGTTTTAATTTTTAAAATTTTTTGTTCTAATTATTTTATATTTTGTGTTATAATTATTTTAAATATTTTGTTATAATAATTTTCAATTTTCTGTTTTATTTTTTTTTAATTTTTTAATTTATAGATATTTGATTTTTATTTTAATAAATTTTTTATAATTGAATGAATTATTTATTTATATAAAGATTCGAATTAATTTATTTTTTTAATTAAACAAATTTAAATATTTTAATTTATCTGTTTTATTTATTTTATATTACTTGTTTGAATTATTTTATATTTTCTGTTTTAATTATTTTAAATATTCTGTTATAATAACTTCAAAATTCGTGTTTTAATTTTTTTAATTGTTTTGTTCTAATTATTTTAAACTTTCTGTTATAATTTTTTAATTTATAGTTATTTGATTTTTATTTTAATAAAATTGTTTTAATTGAATTAATTTTTTATTTATATCAAGATTTGAATTAATTTGTTTTATAGTTAGAAGATTTATTGTTTTTTTTTTTTTGTGAAATATTAGATTTTTACAGCTAGTTAAAAATGTTTTAATTACTTTTTTATTTGAAATATTTATAATTTTGTTAGAGATTTAAGTTATTTTGTTTGTAATAATATATTATTTAATTTTATAATGAATTAGTTAAATTGATTTTATTTGAAATAAATTGTTTTGAATAATTTAATATTTTTTACTAGTGAATTTTTTTAATTATTATAATATTATTGTTAATAAAGACACTCACATTTTCGAGTACCATATGCACTAGGTTGGTCGAGTTTGTATTTTCTATATTTTTCGCGTCTTTCACATCCTAGCAACACAAACGTCTTCCTAGATCATATGCAATCCGTTTTACCCATTCAATTCAGTTTTTACGAGAAGAAAAAATTTCATTTGTTGTGAAATTATTCGTCAGATCTTTCTCAACAACCTCATTTATAAATGATGAAAATTCTGATAGTATGATAAAATTTATTTCAGAATCCATCCCAATGATATTTGTCCATTTAAATTATAATCACGTATAAAAAAAAATAATACAATAAATTTATAATTTATAATTATATTATAAAATCAAAAACTAATACAATAATTATACAACTATAAATTTATGAACAATATAATCTAACTTAAATAAAACACCAAGTTAAATAAACTTAAAACTATATAAAAAATTATTAAAAATTTTCATAACAATTTTTATATCTAAAACTTATAAAAATTAAATATTTAAAATGCATTTTTTATATTAACAACAAATAATAATTATAAAAATAAAGTTAACTAGTTTTATTCAATTTTTATATAAAACAAACCTACTTAAACAATATTCATAAAACAACATGCAAAATTATGAAAAATTCGTAACAATTATTTTTAAAAATTACATATTATCTAATTATATTATAAATTCATAAAAATTATACATATACTTAAATATAATTATAAAATAATAAAATAATAAAATAATATATAAAATAACTAAAAATTATATAAATAAATGAATGGGTGTCAAATATCTTATGAAAATCTAATATATTATATATTGTTCCATCTTCAATTTTTTAAATAAATGCTAATCCTTGCTTGTAATAAGTAAGTATTCAAATAGGTAACTCAATTTTTTCCATAAAAAATGTATGGTAAGCTGAATAACAAGCACTGTTGAATAAAATAGTTACTAAATAAAATCGGCGAAAAATTTTCAATCTCGGATATAGAAATATATATATATATATATAATCGAATTTTCATATGTGATAGATAACTGAGTTTTTTTTATTAATTTTAATAAATTCAGAAAACAAAATTATATCAATTAAAAAATATCTAATTTCATTATAGACTAATACAAATTCACAAATAATTTTAAAATTAATAAAATAATTAAAACAATAACATAATTAAAGTTTTATGTATAACATTAAACATGTATCGGATATTGATATCCGAATTCTCACTATCGGATCTCTACGTCCGATTCCTATGCATTTAGTTATTCTCATTTTGTTTCAAAATCAATCGGATCTCCACATCCGATCAGCATCATCGGCTATCCACAGTCGATGAGTTCATATCGTTTTTTCGTTTTTACATGTTTATAACTTCATGTTTCGGTAGCATGCAAACATATTAACGAAACTAAATTACATCTCCATCAATAACAATCCAACCATGAAATCTATCTATACACACAGATTAAAAACAAATACTAACCTCTTTCTACAGCAAAAACACAAAGAAGAATGAGGTAATCCGAAACTGCACCAACACAAAGAGTCAAGCTGCCAATATACCACTCCAAAGTGCACACTCGAACAATACTTCTCTTTAGATAATACTCAATAACTCTCAAGAGAAAAAATATTATCAAAGTCCTGTGAAGAGTTATGAAAGAGCGTATGGTTTCTTTATAAAAAAGATGGGACGCAAGAGGTGTTGGGATGAGGGGGTGCAGGAATGAAGGGTCCAAGGAGTGCAGGGGTGAAGGGTAGAGAGGAGCAGAATGCATGTTTCTTAATTGGTGGAAAATAGAGGTGGAGTCAACAGTGGCACGAAAATTTTCAATAATCAAAAGATTAAACTTTTAAATCATTTATTAATTAAGGGCATTTTAGAAAATTGGAGGTGCAGGATGAAATGCTTGGAGGTACAGGATGAAACACTCATTATTTATGGGTCATTTCTGGTCCTCAAAAAAGTGCTCTATGGGCCACGTTGACTAATATATAAACTTACAGAGATCTTTGTTTCAGGATATTTTTTTTTTTCATTATCAAGAATACTAAAGTAGGAATGTATATTATTGTATTTGTTAGAAAGTTGTAAGAAAAACTTTGTCGTTATGGTTACTTCCAGTTCTGTATTTTCTTTTAAATAGAAAACTATAAGATAAGATAGAATTTGTAAATATTAAAATAAATTATTTCAACATTTTTTTTATTCTAGTTGTACCTGAGTTTGTCATGTAAATTAAGTTAGTCAAATTTTATCACATATATGACGAGGTTTAGTGTGTGTGTGTTTTTTTTTTGTTAATTTCACCGTATATAGGTATTCTATTTGACATATATAAATTAGCACCATTGAATATAATCCAATGCATAAAAATTAGGTAATTCGTGTCTCATGTCATAGGTTCATGCATAAGTTTCTGGATTTGAGTAAATACATAAAAATAACAGAGAATTTGATCCACATGAGAAGTTTTGAATGAGATGATATGTATAACGAACACAAAATGAATATTAGGGGAAAATATAGGAGATTGATTTACTAATCCCATGTAACTAAAGAATGAAAAATTTGATAAGATGATGAAAAGCAATTGTAACTGTGTACTGACGAGAAAGTATAAAAATGAATGATGCAATACAGAAAAGAAGCTATGATTAACGTGCAACCTCAAATCATGTTATCTGCACGAGATGGCAACCTCTTGAAGAAATTACTAGGCAGTGAGGGTAGCTTGCTTCTGAACTTGGGGTGTCTTAGCCAGAAAATGCCAGCAACTGAAGCCACAACCTTGAAGGGTGTGACATACAATGCTACAGCAGCAACGAGGCAGAAAATGAGAAAGAGGCTTGTTGCTCTAGGGTCTCTCCAACTGAGCAGGATGTGAAATCTCTCACCCTGAGTTGCAATGTCTCCAACAACAGTTTGTATTCTCCCAGCCACACTCCTTAGCCTGTCATACCTCATTCTTATCACATCCTGAGCCTTTGAAGTGGGAAAAGTGTCAAACTCTTCATCAAGTTCATCTGGGCGTGCTGCTTCTGCCCAAGAAAGTTTGGTGTCCATTTCTGGAGGGTGCCTTGGCCTGAACCTGAAGTTCCATATTCCAATGAGAAACATGTAGAGGAACATGGTGGGGAGGATCAGTTCAGGGTAACATATCAAGATGAAAAAGAGGACATGCACTAGAATTGTGGTCACTGGATTCTTCCACTGTTGCACCTCACCAAGCCACCTGCTCATTGATATTGCACCTGAAAAGAGTGACACAATTCTAAAGAAATTGGCTTTGCTTCTTCTCATGCTCCATATGTGAGAGTCCACGTCCAGCATGTACTCCACAACCTCTTTCCTCAGTGGTGGTTCTGCTCTCCCAAGCCTCACTGCCACAATGTTCATAGCCTGATACCTCAAACTTTCCAACTGGTTCACAGTGAATGGATGTAGGTAATGCATTTTTGGCAAAAAAGGGTGTCCATAAAGGTAAATTATGTGAGCTATGGAGAGACAGGTGAAACGAATGGCCAATTGAAGCTCGCCCATCTTCTTTAACCCAGAGGGTTTCAGAACAAGCAGAGGGTATGAGTTTGTGTAAATCCTATCCATTTCCAAGGTTGATAGACGAATCCTGACCTTGCCAATTCTTGAGTCAATTTTGGCTCCACTTCCTTGAGTTTGGCCTCCACCACCCAAATGGCAGTTGTCAAACACCCCAAAAGTTATGACAGTGCAAGGATCATACACTTCCCATGTGTATTGTTCATTCCATTTGGGATTAAAGTTCTCAGTGATTGTTCTGGTTCTCACCCATTTCTGACCATACTTGGCCACACAATAAGCATCTGTTGACCCTTTACCATTGTTTGTCTTCATAGATTGGAGCCCTTGAGCACTGAGTATCCCCACTTCAAGAATCCCAATTGGCTGCTTCCAAAGTTGTCTGGCAGTTGGCCTTGTGTCACTGATATACATTGTGAATTCATCTAGCACATGATAAGCACCCTCAAGACACACCCTCAGGTGAATCCTACTTGAGAACTTGGTCTCGTTCCTCTTGTCACCCTCCAACACACCAAAGCCAAACCTCTCAAGGTTGTACCAGTGTGAGTGCACTGCTCTGTGATCCAAACGAATCTCAAACTTGTTAAGAGGCAAGGCTATTTTTGCCACAACCTCATCCTTCCCAGGGGAAGCCTTGTTCTCAACCGTTAGCACAAGCTTTTCCTCAAATGGCTCGGCTGCCACAAACACCAAATCCTCATTCCACATGGGGTTTGGTGTTTTTGCTGGACACAACTTGGTCTTGAGCACTTGTTGTCCAACTTGACCCTTCACAAAAACTTGGGGTGGCTGGCTTTTGTCTTGTGGCTCCACATCTTGAGCTTCAATCACATTAACCCTTAGATACCATAGTTTTGGGTTAACATAAACCTTTGACCTGATATTATAAACCCCTTCTCCTTTAACTGAAGCAGAATCTGAATGCCAAGCCTCAGGGAATGCTTCATCAGCTTGTGTCCCCATCCAAACTGCAAGCATGATCTCTCCTCTACTCCTTGCTTCCCCTCTGAGATTCTCAAGCCTATACCACTGAGGAGCCAAAGGGCTATCTGGGGGTACCCTTGTTGGCACTTCATGCATGTCAAACTCCACTTTTCCAATGTAGTCATCTCTGGCCACCATGTCTTTGTCTCTCACAAATACCTCAACAATTGAGGACTGAATCTTATCCTTTGAAAATGCAAAAACCTGCTTCCACTCAGGGCTGGTCTTCTTCTCAAAATGTCTTGTTTTCCCCTTGTAGTTCCCAACCTTCACTTCAACATAAGGGTCAATGTTGCTGGTGACGGGATTTGGTGGAAGGTCCTTGGCCTTCACAACACGGACATAGAGGTAGAACATCTGTTCCACCAAGTCATAAGTGCTTGTGGCTCTCTCACTGTATAACCAACCACTCCCTCCACGTTGCCCTCCATGTGGCCACCTTTCTCCAAGCTCTGGCTTTGTGTCCTTCATCTTGTAGTCCTCCTGGTTCCCCTTTGCTGCTGCTTGAGAACTCATGGTTTCGACTTTGAAAACTTCACCTTTCAAATTTCTTCTCGTTGCTCAACCTCTAATTCATGTGTCTGTGAAACAAAACATGAAAATTCTGAAAGACAAATTTACTGCAAATTTTCTTTTAGTTTAGATGCTTATGTCTTGAACCGGATTCCAACAATGGTATTACTAATTACAATGACAGAGATGGCGTAACACCCCTTATAGGATATATAAAAAAAAAAAATAATCTTGGAGCACAAATTTTGTGAAAGTATTTTTTTATAACAATAGATCACATAAACAAACCATACACACATCATAAGTTCATACATTACAACAAACCAAATCTTACTTGTTCCTTAAAATCATTGGGCGAGACATTCACCTCCTCGCGCAGAAGGAGGTGACACTCGAATCTCAATCTCATGCTAGACTTGTATTTATTATAGTATTGAAATGCTCATAAGACTGACGAAGTTACAAGTAAATAACATAATCTACGTAGAAGACATCAAACAAAATAGACGTGTTCAATCACGAATTCATACATATTTTCAATAACATGTATAATTAAACCAATAATAGACTAAGAAAATAACCAACAATTCTCAATAATTGTTTAAAATAACACTAGAAAAATTAATCAACAATTTATTAAAATTCACAATTAATTGAATAACTTAATTTTCACAATTAATTAATTAAATTATTTTTCTTACTGATACACCCAGGTGAAATTATTAATTTCACAAGCCATCCACTAAAACTAATATTTTTAGTGCACATCCGCTTTTACTAAAATTATAACACAAATTAAAACACACTTTTTAATATACCCCTTTTTACCTTAAATACACTCTCCTTTTAATTCTACCACCCAAGTCTTTTTATTCTAAAATCAAAACTTTATTTTTCTTACACAAAAAAAATATTTTTCTCTCTCCTTTTTGCTTTTTACGTAAGTTTCTCTTTCTCCCTCCATCTTGTTCACTTTTTCTTTCATCTATCACTAATAAAACCATCTCATTCCCTTTTCAATACTCATTTTCTTCTCACTCTGCTCTACGTAAAACACCACTTACACCTACACTATTCTCTCTCTTTTATTTATTACTCATGCTCCCACTCACTATACTCTCTCTTTTATTTTTTTATTTTTATTTTTAACACTTACATGAGACACTAACCTTCTCTCCCCTCCCTCTTCTCTTCAATTTCCCTTCTCTCTTTTACGTGAACAACCCATGAGACACTAACCAAGACTCTCATCTTTTCCAATCTTCTCTCTTCACGATCCTCTTCCACACATGACACCAACCTTCATGATCCAAAATTTTGCCCTCTGTTCGCCTTTCTTCCTCATCTTCTCTTTCTATCACAAAACTAAACAACCCATTTTGAAGAAACTCTCTCTAAGCTCTCCTCCTCTTCTTTATACTCCTTCAAAGTATCACACTTCACTCCTTCATTCTCATTTTCATTCCAACAATGGAAGACAACTCTCACTCCCATCCTACCCACACTCTTGGTCAAAGAGTATAGATAACTGTCCCTTCAAGGTGTTTAACTCATACAAGGTAAAAAGGATGCAAAATGATACACAATACAACATGATTTAAGTGTTCCCATGATATTTTCCATAAACATGCATCATTCCAAGGTGCCCAAAACCTATATACCCATTACAATAGCAAAATGAAAATTAACATATGACCACCCCTCTACCCAATCCATACGTAAAAGATATTATACCAAGGTCATGAATGCATCATCACTTTAAAAATAATCACCTTCTACCCATCATACACTGTATTATATTCTCAAGTTAAACCCCTTACCTCTGATTGCAGAAAATGTTCCAATGGGTTCTTTGATACTAAATCTTCTCTACTCTTGTTGTCTAGACTTCTGCTTCTCACCCACACCTCACTGTCTAGCACAAGAAGTGGACAACTCTTACACTCTCTCACGGATGTTTTTGGTTGTTGTAAAACAATATTAATGTTTCTCTCTTTCTCTCACGGTATATAACACTCATGACTAAAAGGCTTTTCCAAAGCCAACCAACAACTTGCACCAGCACTCATAAGAATAATTTTTTTAAAGAAAACCTTATTGATAATTTTGAAAATAAATTGATCCTGCTTGGTTAAAAAACCGCTATCCCTCACTCCTTTAATGCTTTATTCACTCTTTATTTTAATTTTGACTCAAAATTAAATACTTGGTTCATTGAGCCTTTTTCTAAAGTCAGAAAAATATTCAATTTTATTAAATTTTTGAAAGTGTTTTTAAAAAATAAGTGGTCTTTTTTCTAACTTTAATCTTTTACCAAATATAATTTTTATATTGAGTTGAAAATTTTATTATATACCTATTTTTTTTATATAAAAGTTTCTGTACTTCAGTTATCTCATTTCAGTCTCAATTTTAATCCTAATCAATCTTATGAAGTGAAAATAAAATTTAATCCAGTTTATAAAGGCTAACTCAAATGCTATATCGATATTGAATGAATTTTTCCCCTTTCTATATCATAAGAGTTGTACCAATTTCAAGACGCTTTATGAATTGAGAATCATTGTGCAAAAAACGCTTCAAGATAACTTTGTCCTTTTTTGTTAATCTTGGGTGGGAAATTGGGCCTCTTTCAAAGGTCACTTTCTGAAAACTAGAGAATATTTTATTTAGGCATATAGAAAATTAAGAGGAACCCATTAAAGATTGAAAATGGTGATTGAGAAAAATGATACAAAGGTGCTTTCTTTTTCCTTTTATATTTATTTATTTATTTGGCTAAAGATATCAACGTGCTTTTCTAACCATGCTAGAGGAACATTCCACAATTTTGTGCTTCATGTAGACACTTTGATAATTAAAGTAAAGGTAAGAAAAGGCACTGCTAAAAATTCCATTTTTTTTGTAAAAGTTTATTGCCAACCCATTTGAGAGGACAAAGATAGATTTTTTAGAATAAGATCGAGGTGGACTTGCACGTAATCGCTGCCCACTTTCATTGATTCTCTTGTCTTTCTTTCATAACTTTTCAAAATGGAAAATTTTGTCGCTAAAAGACCATTTTGCCCTTAGCCTAGAAGGGTGTGGAGTAAGTGAAGTTCAAAAGATGCTTTAGAAGGTTATTCTCTTGTCTTTATTCGTCTTTAACTTAATGTTAGATAGACATGGGAATTTTTTGCAGTGGAAAGAATGATAAATTCCTTAGATTTAGTCGAATAATGTTGCATACTTTCACCGCCACCAGGTTCTGTTTTATTGGGTGTGAACATGAACTTCTTTGATAATCGTTCTTGTAATTTGTTATGTAAAGATTGAATTTTAATAAACAGAAATATGGTAGTGCGAAATTTGGGTTCAGGACAAAATATTTCTTTTGATCCACTCAACTTCGATCAAACTCACAAAGATAACTTAGAGGAAGAAATAACAGAGATTGAGGAACATATCATAAGCAACAAATTGTACTTTGGAATGACCAAAAATTGTCATTCAAAGAACATGAGATGAAATGATAATTTACGTGACAGTAAGGTACATAAACTACATTGTTACATATTTCTATTTTTACAATATTTCGATGACAACAATGTTATTATTTATGGTACAGTATGATACGCTACAAGAACTTCTCCACTCTCCTTCAAAACATTTTCCTATCCATGTTGGATCTTTTCTAGATTTTCTACACCTATCTAACAACCCCTTCCAACAAGTCCTATCCTTCTAGGCATTCTTTTCATTCCTTCAACCTTTGGTGCTGAATCATTACACATGTTTGTGACTTTAACGATGACATTACCATCTCCACATAATTCAAGTACTTCGTTAATGTTATTTTATCTTCCACCAGTGTTTTTTCAGTCATCACACTTAGTTGTTCAACATTCTCACTTTTCACAAAATGAACAAAGTGATGAAGAACAACGAATCACACGAACAATAACCACAATAGGATGTCACAAATAGATAAATTTTAAGTATTATGTGATATTAATTTATAATAATAATAATTATTTTTAATCCATATATTCATATTTCTGACACCACCTAGGTTTAAAAATTATTTCACATTCAGTTATGTTTAAAAGAAAGGGTTAATTATGTTTTTTTGTCATTAAACTATTACGTGTTTTTAGTTTTTCATCCCTCTTTCAAATTTCATTCTATTTAAATTTTCAAGTCTTAAAAAGATTGGGACATGACATATCATTTGTCATGTAAAGAAAACGACATTAGTAATCTCTTACTTTCTAAATAAAAAATAACTTAAATAGAACAAAATATTCATTATGAGTGAGAACGATCTTAATTTAATTGAAAGTTCTTACCGTTATAGACAACTTCTAAATTTATTGTCATTACCACTTTTTCCCCAAAAAAATTATAAAAATATCAATAAGATTAATGACAACTTCACTTTTTTTAATTTGATAAAAAAGTCATTCTAACTAATAGTTGAATTTAGAAATCTTTAGAACTTCAGATGATTTACTTTAAAGTGTAAATTTTAAGTCACCAACTATCCTATATTCATAAATGTCAGGATAAAGCCCACATTCGTCTTAAAAAAAACTTCAAATGAAAAGTTCATAAAATTGTGGAGTGTCAAAACTGATATTTTGGAATGTTCTGTCTGTATTCAATAATTGTGTCCTAATATATGCAAGAATGTAATTTTCTATATCCCATAAAACACTCCTAAAATCCCCCTATCACAGCTCCTACTTTCCCATGATAATATAATCAAATATATACTTTCCAAATTACCCAACTCAATCTTTGCTGATAAGATTGGAAACATGCATAGATAAATATAGCAACAACATATACCACATATCGTTATTACCCACCCTCAAGTGGGCGCATGCAAATTTTGGATGCCCAACTTGCTTAACAAGGACAAGAATTGCTTTGTTCCAAGAGCCTTGGTGAATATATCGGCAAGCTGAGTACAACTAGGGACATAAGAGAGCTTAATATTCTTAAGAACCTCATCACGAATAAAGTGGCAATTAGCCTCAATGTGCTTTGTGCGTTCATGGAAAACCAGATTCTTAGCTATATGAAGAGCGGATTGACTGTCACAATGGATATGAATTGGGTGAGGGTGAGGCACACCAAGATTAGATAAAATGTCTTTCATCCACTTCAATTCACATATGGTGTTGGCCATGGAACGATATTTCGCTTCGGCAGTTGATCGGGAGACTGTGTGTTGCTTTTTAGCCTTCCATGAAATAGAAGAGCGACCAAGAGAGATGTACCATCCTGTAACAGATTTGTGAATAAGTGGACAATCAGCCCAATCCGAGTCACACCACCCATACAAATTCAAATCACTGTCACTACGCAAAAGAATGCCTTGCCCAGGGTTCCCTTTTAAGTAACAAACCACACGCAAAGCAGCATGCCAATGATCTTCTCCAGGTTGCTGCATGAATTGAGAGAAAGTGCGGACACTGTAAAACAGCTCGGGTCTAGTGAAACACAAGTAGATGAGGCGTCCAACAAGACGTCAATAACAAGCTGGATCAGACAACAAAGGACCTTCAGCCAATGCTAAGCAATGATTTTCTTCAAGAGGAAGAGGAGTTGGTTTGACTCCAAGTAAACCTGCCTCAAGTTTAATATCTAAGGCATATTTTCTTTGACACAAGTAAATTCTTGTGGGTGAACAAGCAACTTCCACTCCAAGAAAATATTTCAATCTCCCTAAATCTTTCATATGAAAACATGTATGAAGATAAATTTTAAATCGACGAATAGTTTCAGAATCATCACTTGAAATAATAAGATCATCCACATAAACGAGCACTACAATATTTATAGTGGCCGTCCGCAAAGTGAATAGGGAATAATCAGAACAAGACTGCCGAAACCCATACTTCTTCAGAGCAGTAGAGAGCTTAGCAAACCAACATCTTGCTGCTTGTCGTAAACCATAAAGCGATTTATGGAGTTTGCAGACCATTCCTTGGTTTTCCACCATGAAGCTGGGGGGCAATTTCATGTACACATGTTCTTGAAGGTCATCGTGTAGGAAAGCTTTGTGAACATCCATTTAGTGAAGTTCCCACGCTTTAGCAGCAGCTACAGCCAATATTGTACGTACAGTAACCATTTTTGCCACTGGGCAAAAGTTTCAATGTAGTCGATCCCTTAAACTTGGTAATTTCCCAAAATGACTAGCCTTGCTTTGAAGCTCTCAACGGTACCATCTGAGTGATACTTGATTTTGTAAATCCACTTGCAACCCAAAGCTTTCTTCCCTGGAGGTAAGGTGGTTAAGGTCCATGTGCCATTATTTTGAAGAGCTTGAAGCTCATTGGCCATGGTTGCTTGCCAGCGTGAATCTTGTATAGCTTCTGAAAAATGCATAGGTTGTCGATCCACATTTACTGCTGCAAGGAACTGATGATGCTGATATGAAAATCTATCACAATTAACATAGTGAGCTATAGGATAACACGCACCTGAATGATGTGATGTAGCGGAGGAACGAACAGATGGGCTCAACTTGATCATGGTGTTTGTCACATACTCACGTAACTTCACAGAAGATTGCTTGATCCGATGACCTCTTCCAAGTTGTGAGGAGGAAGCAATGTTGCTTTCTGGTTCATCGCTACTGTTGGACATTGCATTTGTGTAGTTCTGTGTTTCTAGAATAGGTTCAAGGCGTTGGGTTTCATCATGCGCTTCGCTAGTACCCCTTGACATCAACATTTGTCGTCATGTACAAGATATTCTTCTCCCGGGAAAGGAGCGTTGATGGACACTTGAGTAAGAGGAGATGTGATGCTTGCTTCTTCAAAAAGGAATTTTGTTTCAACAAATTTGACATATCGGGAAACAAAGAATACCTCTTTCTCTAAGTCGAATAATTTTCATCCCTTTTGTCCATAAGGATAGCCAACAAATACAATTACGACTTTTACTATCAAATTTATCTCCTTTTCTGTCTTGATTGTGTGTGTAGCATAGTGAG